CCATACTGAATAATAAGAACAATTAAGGAAGAAATACTTGTAAAGAGACTTAAATCAATTTAGTCAATGAGTCAATGGATGAGTTGTTCATCATGAACATAATTACAAATAAACATTTATGCCTGTTATCTTAACTTCCGGTAAAACTATCTCTCATTTACTAATCATCAATACTAATGTAACATTATTATGATTAAATGGATATTACTGTTAGTGAGTTGATAAGACAATTGTGAATAGTGAATAACAAGTGAATTGATTTGTGGAACATTTCTAATGACAAATCATATTCTGATGATGAATTATTCTCATCACAACCATCACTACGCTTTCACAAATACACACTCTCTGTATCTCTCTTCTTCAAATCATCTTGTAAATGATATGTGAGATGTGATTTGAGTTACTAGACAAATGGAGTAGATGTTATCCACAATCATCAATATGATTGTTTATTCTCTGTATGTGTATTAGTGCTTGTGATTGAATCACCGTGTTCTCAACACAATAGATCTCATTATGGAACTCTCATTTACATATATATCGGTTTGGTCAGTTGGTTAGTGGGAATCATCTCCACCAATGCATACACGCATACACACACGTTCATGCACATTCACACACAAGTTCACTGTGTATCATGAAGTTGACTTGCCAGAAATCCACAGTAGTTAACGGTTGAATAAGTAATGTGAATGTGAGCGCATTCGTGTGTGTGGATTTTGATTCATTCAATGATCGATTGAAATATTTTCAATGCATTGTAATGTAGTGTAATATAATGTGGAATAATTGTATTTCGATCATTTCATAATACTCCTCACATCGATATTTTGATGAGTGATGTGTGGTAATATTGGTGATTGATGAGTGGATTGAGTTCGTCCTTGTTAAACGATTGTTGTGTATTAGTGTCAGTGATGTTGTGAGAGGTGAACGAAGATAATGTGCTATTACTGTGTTGAACTGATTCGAAATAATTACACTGACCACCCTTATTATTGTTATCATTATTAGTTTTTTGACTGAGATCATGAACCGACTAATGTTAGACCACAATTGAAAACCTGAAAGCACTGGACTCCTCAGCAGTGCACATACACAAACGCGCTCGCGGGATTCGAACCCGGGGCCTTCAGTCTCGCGCGGGAACGCTTAACCTACTGGACCACTGAGCCAGCATCCAATGGTGTTAATGTCTAACCTGAACCAATCCACGAAGTTGCACAACCATCTTCCATTGTACTGAGGTGGACACCTGTTTCTACCCGACATGGATTAGCTCCACTGTTCACGGCTTCTCACCAGAACTCCGAGAATTCTCTCACGAAGCTAGTCATTAGTGAGCACATGGTAATTATCAATCGAAAGCTTAACAATCTCCACAACCCCTAAACTGATTATTATTATTATTATTATTATTATTATTATTATTATTATTATTATTATTATTATTATTATTATTATTATTAGCATCTGTTTATTGAATGACGTCATGTGAATGGAACAATGGAATGATTGCTGAATCTGATTGATGGTGCAAAGTGTTACCGATAAGTTGAGAATTTCTGATTGTGTGAGGTAATCCACTCTCGTAATCGATTTTCATCATTCAGAATGATGTAGAGTAGAGGAGAGGATTCCAGTTATGTCATTCAATGTGAATTGGTTCTGTTTTGTGGTAACTCCACATTATCTTATCAGAAGCGGAGTGCCATGCTAGGACGAAACGGTCGTTAAGTGCTTTCAGGTTTTCCATGGTGGTCTAGCTTCAATCGACTCATGATTTCAATTATTGAAATGACACATTAGTTCATCGAATCAGTGACGAGTTACTGTTCTAATGATTGTGAACATAGAGAGTGGTCGACATTGTCTGATGTACACTGCAAATCCCACTACCGCTTATATATATTAACCAAGAGTTGTGAGAGTTTATCAGCACACAGATCCTCGACATGGTGACAACATGGACATGAGTGATGGAGAATATTTGAATGGAAGTGTTGTGAATGTGATGATTCGAAATACAGCTAAATAGACAGATAGACAGACAGACAGACTGACGGATAGATAGATGGTTATTGAAATACTAGTTGAGATCTGTGTGATCATTGAGGCGTGTTCGAATCTCAGTATTTATGTACATGTATATTTTTGGAACATTGCTAAGTTTGTTTGTTTGTGTATGTGTGTGTGTGTGTGATGAGAGGCATTACAATGATGAACACAATCATTAGTAATTTTCGTCTATTTAATTGTATCTAAATCCGATCGAGAATTGAGTACAAATCACTGATTGACTGACTGGTTGTTTACCTGGTCACTTTCATATTTACATGTGTTCATATATGTGTGTATGTGTATGGGTATGGGTATGCAATCAGATTGTATGTATAGTGAGAGACATTACTGGACTGAGACATTCACTCGTCACTATGTCATGTAACGATTTTCTTGTTGATGGAAATCTGTGCATTCCATTCAAACATAACTGTAATTCACAATATAATAATGAATATTGTACCCATCACTATTACTCCCACTCCTACAACAGCTACTCCTACAGCTACTTCTACTATCACTACTACTTCACCTACTCATCTATTCATTCTACCTGATTTAATCGATTGGAAATTATTATGAATGTTGTTGTTGTTGTTGTTTGAATTTGTAGCAATGTGTTCACACTTTCCAACTGAACATCTACTGTAGTAATAAAATGAAGCATGAATCTTACCACCATGGTGACCACACAATCCTCCTACTTATGATTACCGAGTTCATTGTAATGATTTCATAATTGAAATATGTGTGTTTTGATATTATTTGATTGTGTTATTTATTTGAGTATGTATGAACAAGATGTTATTTGGAAGTGATTGAGAATGGTGATGATTTGCAACGATCTACTTACTCATTGTAAATTAGAATGAATTTCACTAGTTCTTAATTGTAACGTGTCAAATGATACGTTGTAAGTTAGTTAATCTTTCCCAATTTGCACACCTCTACTTCTTTCTGTATGTTATAGTGGGACTCATCAGCTACTATGTATTTGTGTTTGTTGATCTACTCAGTCAGTGTATGTTTGTAATTACACTGTTTGTGAATCTATGTAGTTTGATTGAGTTGTATTATTTGAGTGATGTGACTATGTATTTTCATTGATAATACATATCAGTGAATGTGAATGAGCGTTGAGAACGTGTAAGCATTGAAGATGTGATTCGTTGTAGTTTGACACTCGTCATTCGTAATATGCATCCTGACCCCTAATAGAATTTGTCGAAGTTCAACGTTGATTTCGCTCTCGAGCTTTTAATATCTTAACTTCTATTTCAGCTTACATTGGTGTTAGTTTTCAACTTCGTGCAATCTGCTATATATTATGTGTAAATTGGTTTGTTCTTTCTGGATAACTTCTTAATGTGTTATATAATTTCACTCCACGAATTATATTTTCTGCTACACTTCCTTGTTGTTACTCCTACTAAACCGACTTGTGAGCCTACTGTATCTGTCATTTTTTCGAGTCTGTTTTAGACGTTAAAAAATGTCCTTAATATTTTGACTCGTGTTGATAATGATGATAATATAATTCGGTTTCAAATGTTCTACTGTCCTGATTATACTTGATAATTCGATGTCTGTAATTCATTACTTACTTGCGCCTGTTACTTCCAATGGAGCATAGGTTGTCGACTAGCAATTTCCAACTCTGTCCCGGCTCTTACTTTCTAGTTCTATACAATTGTTGCTCATTCTTCTAATATCTGTCTCCATTTTTCGGCGTAATGTGTTCTTTGGTCCTCCTATTCTCCGTTGGCCTTGAGGATTCCAAATGAGGGCTTGCTTTGTGACGCAGTTGCGTGCTTTTCTCAATGTTTGTCTGGTTTGTTCTCTCCCACAGTAGGTTGTTGCTGATTGTGTCTGGCTATATATATATTTCTTTCTACTTTTTGCATGTTGATAACTGTATTTTAATAAGGTTGAATTGACTAGTCAATTACAGTGTTTTATAATAATAACAACAATCTAAAATCATAAACATTTACGATCAAAACCTCATACCGGTTGAACAGGTAAGTGGTTAACTGGACTCATTATATTAGTCTAAAATCGATTAACGTTTAAACTATTAAGTTTCTAGGTGAATATCAATAGCATGACGTAGGTATATTTAGTTGATAAGTGCTATTACTACCATAGAGACTAACTCATTATAATTATAGTTTTAAACATGGATAACTACCGTCAACAGAGTAATCACTGGAGAGTTGTTCCATCCTAATAAGAGACAACATATTTAGTGCATAACCGCGAACCTGTGAAAAAATTAATTCCAAGAACTTTGAGTCCGTCAATAAGAGCATATGTGATCACTATTGATAAGTTTCTCACTAGGAAAAAATACCTAACTGATGTCAGTCTATAAAGAAAATCATATTTGACGGAACAATGATCCGTTTATCATTATAATGATAATACATTTGTATTAGAAGGGGTTTTGTGACGATTGTAGTAATTTCAACGGTTGGGATCATGAGTCAATTGAAGCTAGACCACCATGGAAAACCTGGAAGCACTGGACGGCTGTTTCGTCCTATTGTGGGACTCCTTAGCGGTGCACATTCACGACCCCGCCTCGTGGGATTCGAACCCAGGACCTATCAGTCTCGTGCCAGGCGCTTAGCCAACTAGATAATACATTTAATAACAATATACTACTTAATTACTTCTGTAATTAGTAATATATAGAACTCAGTATAAACAGTAATTTCTCATGTAATCTATTCATACTCTACTATTTGTGATCACATTATAACTGTTTACTTATAATAAGAATATCAAGAAAGGGGTTATTCAGGAATTGACCAATCAGATTGCTATGCGTAAATTACTGTTTTTTGATTGGTCCAATTGATTGATAATGATGGTAATAATTAAATCATAGAACTATTTAATCATAACTAATTACTAATATCCATAAGCATAGAATGGAATTTAAATCTCCTATGAATATGCAAAAAAAACATTATCATAATGAAAATTCATTAACAAATCCATATTATAAAGAGATATTTCATTCAAGAGAATGTATTCCAACGAATTTACCATTATTACATAATAATAATAATAATAATGATAATAACTTTACTTATCTAATGACAATGAGTGATAATACTAATTTTAATCAACATTTTAAATGTGAACCATCAATGATTCAATCTGTATACCCTTCCATAGAAAATCAATTCATACCATCGTCATTATTATTATCATCATCATCATTTACATTGGCAACATCGTTAGCATCGTTAGCGACGACAGCGTCATCACCATCAATACAGACACCAATTGTAAATGAAGTGAAATATTCCAATCATTTGAATCACATACAACATTTTAATTCACAAATGAAATCCCCAATGTATGATTTAAAGCCTACATCAATGTATCATTATCGTAACAATACTTGTGTTAATAATAATAATGATAATAAATTTTCGAAACACACTGATGGATCAAGTTCAATAACCTATGGATTAATAGAAACGGTGAATTCTAAGAATCCAGCTTTATTAATCCATAATAAACAAACTTTAATGAAACGTAATAAAATTTATAAAAATACTGAATTGAATGATACTATTAATTGTAATTCTAGTGTTGAAGAAGGAGATGATGATGATGTTGACGGCAATGAGAATAATGATGATGATGAGGAGGAGGAGGAGGAGGAAGAGGATGATATCAATGATACAGTTGAAGAGAGTGAAGATGTCTCCTCCAGCAATTGTACTGATGATATTCAGCATTTATGTCAAGTAAGTTAATGTTATTTCTAGCCTTGATTTATGATATAATCTAAGATAATGAAAAAATTTCTCGTTTCAAGTTGAAAATTTGTTTCATTACACAACAATAGTTGAAATTTCTAAAAATCTCCACAAAATCCCTTCTGATAATAATCATCTGCTCACTACTGACTGACTTCAAGAGGTATTTCCCTGGAGTTCTAGTGAGTAGCTGTTACCAGTTAAGTTCAACCAGATCTGTTGTGAGATATCAACTCACTGAAGACAATGGTGTGCGGTGGCACAATTTCGTGGATTGGTTGAAGTTAGACATAAACACCGTTGGATGCTGGCTCAGTGGTCTAATGGTTAAGTGCTCGCGCGTGAGACTGATAGGTCCTGGGTTCGAATCTCTTGGGGTGGGATCGTGGATGCTCAGTTCTGAGGAGCCCCATACTAGGACGAAACGTCCGCCCTGTGCTCCTATGTTTTCCATGGTGGTCTAGCTTCAATTGACTCATGATTTCAACTATTGAAAGGTATTAAATGTTCGTATCAAATATATTACTACTACCACTACTACTACTACTACTACCACTACTACTGTGGTATATATGTTACTTATACAGACAGATATAAGTATTATGTATCAAAAATCGAGAGTAGGATTCTTACTGACAGAAGAGAAGGTTCGAAGAAGGGAAAGGGAAACAAAGAAGTTCGTATAGCAACAAGAAGGTACGAACAAGGAAGTTTGTGAAAGAAAACTGAGTGATGAGAATTAGAAGTTACCAATGTGTAATGAATGAATTCTAATTTTATCTTTTTGAATACATAAGTTTCGGTGTAACTATTACCAATCGTACCACTACTACGCAGGCAGGGACAACCAAATACATTTCAACACAAAATTACAAAATCTCTTTATAAAATCTGAAAAATATACAGGAAATACTTCATTTGCAAAATGTTCATCATTTGTTTTAGATTTTATTGTCCCTTCATTTCCATACTAATCACTCTCTGTTCTCAGCCTTCTGTCGACAGGCATTCCATTACAATTGATTGATCACTGGGTGGTGATCAATGTTATGCTTGTCTAGTCCTTATTAGTGCAGATCGGATGCTATATACTACTTATATCTGTCGACATCAGTAACACATACCATACTACAACAACTACTAGTAATACTATAATTTTTCTCACTGATAAATTTTATGAAAGTAGAAATAGAGATTAGCAGAATGAGATGAGTTAATTTCAGTGTTATGGATCCTCATCAGCTATTAATTATAACCTAGAAACAATAATACGAGGTATCTACAACTAATGTACATACTTTACATCATATTCAAATGAAGAACAATCAAATAATGCCAACAGCATTGTGCGTACGAGACAGAAGTTTCTAGGTTCGAACGCCAAGTGCAGGATCGTAGATGTGTACTGCTGAGGAGTCCCACATTGGGACGAAATGGCCGTCCGGTGCTTCCAGGTTCTCATGGTGGTCTAAGATTAATTAACTCCTGAATTCAACCATTAACTTACTAAAATCTTTACAAAACTTCCTTCTGATAATATATACACAGCCAGAGCTTGTGTGCCGCCACTGAGATGGCATCCGATGAATTATTTATTCAACGTTAATCAATTCACAGTACTACGAAACTATCTGTACCTTTCAGTAAAAATTATTATTCTACTGTTGTCTATAATAAATTTGATCAACGAATGTTTTACTGATTTTCAAGGTATGCGGTGATCGAAGCAGCGGTAAACATTATGGTCAGTATACATGTGAAGGGTGTAAAAGCTTTTTTAAACGTTCTGTACGTAAATCAGCCAATTATGTATGTAGATCTGGTGGACAATGCCCAGTCGATGCACAAAGACGTAACCAATGTCAAGCATGTCGTTTATCACGTTGTTTATTAGCTGGTATGAAAAAATCTGGTAAGTTATTAATTTTAATGAATAGTTTACAACAATTTGAGAACAATATATACTACTGCTTATTTATTAGTTAGTAGTAACGTGTTTGTTTATTTCATTTCATACTGTTAAATAGTACTAATTTGTTCACACACTGAATTTGGGAAATAACACTTTCGTGTGATTGACCTTCACTATGAGTCTCATGTTGATCTTCAGAATCCAATTCCCCATTAAAATATACCACGATGTCGTAACTATCAGTATACAGGTTTGTGAACATTACGTAATTTTCATGGTTTTTAAATCGTCAACTGATCTTAGTGACGCAACCATCAGAAACCTGAAAGTACTGGTTTACCGTTTCGTGCTAACATGGGAACCATTAATATTATAGGTCCCCAAATCCACCAGTCGCTCACACGAACACTTAACATCTAGACCACTGGACCGGGATCTAATGGTGTTAATGTTGAATTTCAGTCAATCCATGGCACTGCGTGATCATTTTTGATTGTTTTCAGTGAGTACGTTCTACACACCCCACATGGTGCTTGTAACTATTTCTCTTCCCTTTTGAGTTAGATGAATGTTTATATGTCACACATAAAATTACAATTGTAAAGCTTTTTCTGAAAATTTATTTGTACAAGCACACAAAACGAAATAAATTGACATTTCACCAGTCACAGCTTCTTATCAGAATTCCAGGAATCACTTTTGAAAGTTAGTCACTAGAGAAAAAAAAGGAATATTCGAAGCATTGGACGGCCGTTTCGTCCTATTGTGGGACTTCTCAGTAGTAAAGTACAATTTCATGGTACATAATTGTTCAAAATTCTAAAATTCCAATCTATGAATATTCATATCTTACATAGAGACAAGTTTCTTATTAACGTTATGAGTTCGAGTTCCACAGTTTACGTTTGTAATTTTGATCATTAAATTCTATTAATCGGTTGATAGGTAGGTAGGAACTATTTGAGTCATTCAATCTCTGTTATGTTTATTCAATACACAATTAACTTGTGTATAATAGGTGAAAACGTTATATCTGACGACATGTATTAAAAACATAAATACTGTTGATATGTACTTATTCAACTTCGGCAATAAATCAAAATGATCTATGGATACATCACTTTTTTATACGATTAATGTAACTTTACGTAATCAATAACTTATGTAGTGAACGAGAACACAAGCGGGGACAAGTAAATGTATTTGAACACTCAAATTACGGTATCATCTAAGAACCATACAGTAAATACTACATTTGTAAAATGTCAATCAATCGTCACAGACTGCATCATTTTTTTTCGTTTCTACATCAATCATTCACTGTTCTCGGTCGTCTCTTTTCTTTGATCTTATTAACCTTCTGCTGTCAGGTATTTGACTTTTGGTGGATGTTACATACTAGTTATATCTGTCGACATCAGTAGCACACATCATACTTACTATGAGGACACATATTTGCAGTGTTATAAGGATCAGTTTTTACAATGATTTAGTTTTATTGCGCTTTACATACTGTCATGTCAATCTGAAAGGTTTAAGACTGATAGTTATAACTTTTTAGTAGGAATTTAAAAATCTAAATTCATTTTTTATTGTTGTTTGTATCTTCTCATTGATCTTTACGACTGGAATTGATCAGTCTCTTAATGGTATACGTACACCCTATGCTGATTGCCTCGATATTGCCTTAAGTCACAAATAGTATAAGCGGAGATGATGGTGGCTGGCAGTAGAATCTAGGACGTGTGTTTCGTCTTATTCGGGACTAATTGACTAGATGCACCTGTGCATCCTAGATTCCACTACTAGCCACCATCTATCTTTGTTTGTGATTTAGAAATCTGTCTAAAAATCTAATTGGTCACTGATGAGTAATTTGCAGAGGTTTATTCAATTTTTATACTGATTTTCTCATGATTTGAGTTAAATTGGAGAATTATTGACAGTTAATCATGACTGTAATACTTAGTTTATACAGAATAAATGGAATCCAAGTGTGTGTACGTGTTTCGTCCTACTTTGAACTCGTCAGTTAGATGTGTCTATATATCTCAGGTGATTTGATACTGACTTCGGGATTAAACACAATAATTTTTGCTTCAGATACCTATGTATCGTTTATCTAGTTAACAAGTTCATATCTATCAAGATAATCTACATAGAATCCATATATGTCAATTAAGATTGGTCAAAATTCAATCAAACCATCAAAAACACAATGATCCAAATCATTAATGTTAAATGAATCCTCACTTTGTTTTATGTCGAATATTTGAATATAGGAATGAGTTATGAAATTATGAAACAATGATTAACAGACAATCATATTCATTTGTGATTATTTATAATCAGTCTTAACATATGATCACTTCTCTTAATTTCCAGTGAATAGGATGAAGAGGAAATGTTGAAGCGATCAAAGATATGTATCACACTGAGAGTACTTCTACAAGGGTCATAGTAATTAGTTTATAGGATAGTTATATGAATACACATGATTACATGTTGCTTTAACCACTATAATAAGTGAGAATTTATGTTAACCAACGTAAGTTTCAGAGTAACCCATCAATTAGATTAGTAATAACCATGTAGTCAATTCATTGTAGTTTCAAATATCTCAACAAATTACCTAATTAAAAATAACATAAATATACAAATGAGAGTAGTTGATTCAGATGACGAGTCTCAAGAAGGACCAAAAACGTACATGTTAAGCTTCATCATTAGCCATTAGCCAACTTTTATTATACTCAATAAAACCAACAAACTGGTAGTAAAATGAATGTAACTACATTAATTATAACTTGAAAAGTTGAAAACTGTTGCTACGTGTAACTGAAGTTGAAACTATGAACGACTGAATTTCAATTCTATAATCTGAAGGGAACATTTTCACAATAAGATTTAAAAGTGTTATTACTTTATTCCTAGTCATTACGACAATGTACACTATTGAAAATATACTTGAAATCTAATTACTCTTTCACAGTGTACATAAAACAATTGGTCTTAGAAAAAATAGCTAATTGAATTCCAAGAATCATTGAATAGATGTTTCGTCCTAATAGAGTGTTCTTCAGCATTGGAGATCCACAACTCAAACATGACTTCAATTCACTACCTATTCACAATTAGAGATAAAGAAGAATTTACTGCTGTTTATTTTAATCAAAATTGGCTAAAATAGTTGTTTGACTAATATCATTGAAAAGATCGAAATCATCTGTTCTCTTTTTGTCATAAATTACTTGAATCTAAACAGATATTTATTTCAATAGTTGAAATCATGAGTCGAATTGAAGCTAAACCACCATCAAAAACCCTGGAAGCACTGGACAATCTTTTCGTCCTATTGTGGGAATCCTCAGCAGTACGCATTCAAATTAACTTACTATAATATCTACGAAAACTTCTTCCGATTGAATTTAAGAAGTGTTCTAGTGAGAAGTAGTGACTAGTGAAGTTCGACCGGTTTGTTCTGTGAGATAGTAACTGACTGAAGACAATGGTGGATGTGTCGCCCAATTTCGTGGATTAGTTAAAGTTAGACATTAACACCGTCGGATGAGTGCTCCCTGGTCTAAAAATTATGTATTCGCGCGTGAGACCAAAGACCCTAGGTTCAAATCTCTCGAGTCGGGATCATGGATGCGCACTACTAAGGAGTCCTACAATACAACGTAACGATCGTCCATTGCTTCTAGGGTTTTCATAGTAGTCTAGCTTCAATTGATTCATGATCTCAACGATTGAAATTACTATAATATCCACAAACACCCTTTCAGATATTGAAACTGATTATATCATCTAGTTGTTTATCTATTTATCAATCTTTATATCTTCCTCCCGGTATTATACATACTCCCTATCACTTTTTTCTAACTCTTATCCATTCAGATACATAATGATAAGTAAAATAATCTATCAACAGTTGTTTTTTTCCATGTTGCTACCTCACTACTACTACTAATACTACCAATACTACTACTATTATTATTACTAGTAGTATTATTAATGTGACAAGTTAATTATACTCTACATGGATGATAGAGAAAAAAAATGAAATGAATTTCCCATTTTATGTTTTATTATATCATTATTACATAGTCAATTTATCATTTAAACAAAATGGTTGTTAACTAAACGCTAATTTAAAACAAAAAAAATTTTCACACGCGAATAGAATCCCATTTGTCTGTTCTGGGGTGAAAAAGAGAAACCGCTCATCACACACCCCTCCCCTTATCCAACGAAATTCGAATAATGTACAGATTATAATGAGGACGGCAAAAAACAATGAATCAAGCCAATATGAACATGGTGATATAACTCAAAGTATTCTTAGTACAATAGTGTAGTTAGTATAGTTTTAACTAATAAAATAGAAGCAACCACTTGATAGATAGATAGATAAATAATGGGTCTTTCAGTTGAGTTCAAAGAGGTTGGTGGCGTTAAATAATAAAAAAAGCGAACTATACCGATGAAGAAAAAGCATGAAACGTAATGCGGGTGTATAAAAAGAAGTCAACAAGACTTCATTCATTCATTGAAACAAATAATGGTACTTAGGGATTAGAGGACGATTGAATGAAATGACACATTAAAAAAAAACAGTGAAAGAGAGAGAACGTTTTTTGAGAGAAAAAAATGTTTCAAAAAAGCAAATAAACTATGAAAAGAGAAAAGAAAGTAGGAGGGGGGGAGAGGGAGGGATACAATCACATTGAAGATTAGGAAAAGTGATCTACTTGAATAGAAGTGGTAAACGATTATTTATTATAAAGAGTAAAATAAATGATCGAATATACTTAATCATATTTAGTAATCTATGCAATAAGGCAAAACAAAACCATTTTTAAGTTAATGTATATGACCTGAGGCATAGTGAAACGGATAATGAATCCATATTTGAAGGGATTTTGTGGATAGTATAGTAATGTTTTAATAGGTGAAATCATGAATTGATTAAAGCTAGATCACTATGGACAATGTGG